GATCCCTTTGCCACGTCACCAAGGGAGCGAAATCAGACGCTCGTTTTTTCAGACACTTGCAGAAAAAGGCTTAAGCAAAACAAAGTTACTGAGTTAATCTTTTTCACGTTGCCTTGGTTGGTAGATGCACCGGGGACCTGATTATAGCACTTAAAACCTGGAAAAGTCAGATTTTCATGATATGTCACCTTTAATGAAAATCAAGCTCTCTGATCAAGCTCTTTTAGTAAAATAAAAAAATTTAATTCACTATCAAAAAAGACTACCAGTGTTCAAAAATTGGGGTCAATAGGGTATTTTTTAAAAAAGTTTTAGAAAAAACTCTTTTGCTGCACTATCACTGGGGGTACAAAAGAAGTTTTGCTAATGATCAAAAACAATAAAGAGTAATATAGCGAAATCTTATTACAATTTAAAATAACTGTTTCTACTTTAATATTTTTTAAAATAATTATAATATGCCGATTTGGTGTTCAATAAACAATTCTTCAGTTCAAAAGAACAGCATTTATTTGAAATAGAAATGTTTTGGAACAGTATAAATGTCTTTACTGTCACTTTTTAATTCACTATCAAAAAAGACTACCAGTGTTCAAAAATTGGGGTCAATAGGGTATTTTTTAAAAAGTTTTAGAAAAAACTCTTTTGCTGCACAATCACTGGGGGTACAAAATAAGTTTTGCTAATGATCAAAAACAATAAAGAGTAATATAGCGAAATCTTATTACAATTTAAAATAACTGTTTCTACTTTAATATTTTTAAAAATAATTATAATATGCCGATTTGGTGTTCAATAAACAATTCTTCAGTTCAAAAGAACAGCATTTATTTGAAATAGAAATGTTTTGGAACAGTATAAATGTCTTTACTGTCACTTTTGATCAATTTAATGTGTCCTTTATGAATAAAAGTATGAGAAATTGTTTCTTAATTTTAATAAAAAATGTGGCCTCAATCTTTTGAGCAATAATTTACTGACAACTGTAATTTAAATAATATATCATTATTACATTGAATTTTCTATTCATATTTCATAAATGAGAATGAGATTTTATTCTGAAAAAAATATTTTAGAAAATCACAACATCCAATTGTCTATGTCTCGTTTACTTGAGCAAACGTTCAATACAAGCATCAGGTGTCTTCAGTTGCAGTATGTAACCATAGAAACAGGACACATTCAAGCTGCACATAAGGAAATGCTAAAGAGCATTCACAGCATTTTGTGATGGTGATACGACAAACATACATACCACTGCAGGTATTCAGAACCAATACACTGTTGACTTGTCCACAATCCAACCCTTCATACATCGAAAGACTTTGTAGCTACTGATATTGACTATACAACCATGTTAGGATAGAATTTCAGCTAATAAGACTTCAGTAATGAAGAAAAGCAAGGTCACTACTGTAATAAACAGAGTGAATATGGTTAGCTGTGGCAAGACTACACTTGGGACAGCACTAAATTCCACCAGATAAAAAAATTCAACTTGATGTTCAATCAAATAAAAATGAAAGCTATAGATGTTTGAAAATAATAATAATACTAAAATAATTAATATATTAAGAGCCAGTGTTTCTTCACCTTTTACATAATAGCACTTAATCCAGTTCCACTGGAGCAGGGTACACCTCCCCTTAATTTGGTGACATCAACAGCAATTGTTCACCTTGGATGGCCAACTAAAATGAAACTCTAAAGTAAATCCTGCTCTACCTGGAGCTTTGACAATCCCTTCAGTTTGAAGAAGATCATTAGCCATATCTTGTGTTTGGTTTTTTCACTCGGGGAGGCCACCACCTAGACCAGTGCCTGGCTCCACAGGCACAGTCCGCTTTGATCTGCAAGGCCTGAACAGGCTGCTATTGTGGGTCTGTTGAAAACCTCCAGCGGCCCCTAATCCC